CGATTGGAGCACGAAATACCCCTTCTTCTACGATGACTTTTGGTTCGCGAGGTGGTTCTGGAAACCTTCATGCCTCAACATACATTGCCTTGGTAGCATTTTTACAGCTGTTATTTTATTCTGCTGCCAAATTCCATTTGTCGCAGTCGTTGGTGCTTTTCTTGGTTGGATTGTCCCACAAACCTTGAGGAGATTCGAAGAAAGTCGAATTCTTTACTGAAATGAGCACACAGAGAAATCACATCCAATCGAAGTTGACTATCGTGACATCGTTTCATACCTCTCCAGTTCCTCTGAGTCAAAAATTCCATCGTAGATCAAAAATATTGAAGGATTTCGGTGCGCGCCCCCAAAACCACCTCGAACGCTTTTTTCATTATAATCAATCAGAGAAGACTTTTCGCCTGACCTAAGAAAAAGTTGTAGAGCATTTGAAATGGTTCACATGCACAGGAGCACCATCCCTATGGCTTAGGCAGAAGCCATCCCCTGACTCGCGGTCATCGCAGTCTCCGCTTATTCCGGCACTAAATGCAGTCCCGCACTAAATCCAGTCCACCACAGAAGATTGAGGGAAAGATTAATGACGTACCAGCGAAGTCCAAAACTCGAAACGTTCTTGTGCGAAATTGCGACTACAGCATCCGACGTATTATTGCACCAGATGGTCCTTCGACTGTAGCCAAAACATGTTTGCGAATTTCTGTACCTTTTCCTAATTTCGGCGAGAAATGATCCATGGCAGAAGCTTTGATTAACATGCTTCGTGGAGCGTCCACCTGAGGACGCTAAATCAGGACCGCAATTTGGTTTGGAAAGGTTTCCATTTCATACGGGTTTTCAAATTTCCTTGTCTCTGGCTCCAATATGAAATAGGGACATAAAATTGAATACGATGAAATGAAATGATCAAACTGACTTTCGTCAGACCAAACTAGACGAACTAAATGAATGGGACTTATGACGCACAACCCTTTCAATTCTGAGTGTCCGGCTCGATCGTACATTTTCATCCGGAGAGGATGTTCTATTTGATTTTAAAACGTCCCATTTGGTTCCCCCATATTGAGTGGATGTGGTTTTCATGCAGAATAAGATAAAAGGAGAAAATTGTCAGGATTTCAGAATTTATGCGAAGGTGACCTTCGTTCACGTGTTCTTCGTGCTGTGATTGTTCTCTTTTTCGAG